CCCAGCTGATTTTTTGTATTTTTAGTAGAGATGGGGTTTCACCATGTTGACCAGGATGGTCTCGATCTCTTGACCTCGTGATCCACCTGCCTCGGCCTCCCAAAGTGCTGGGATAACAGGCGTGAGCCACCGCGCCTGGCCCAAAGGTGAAGATTTTAAAAGGGTGACCAGTCGAGGGGCTGCTGCAATGGGCTGATGGCTTGTATTAGAGTGGTAGTTGTGGAGGAAATATAGGATATATTTTGGAGGTAGAAAAACCAGCCAGGTGTGATGGCCCATGCCAGTAATCCCAGCACTTTGGGAGGCCGAGGTGGGTGGATTACGAGGTCAAGAGATAGAAACCTTCCTGGTCAACGTGGTGAAACCCCGTCTCTACTAAAAATACAAAAATTAGCTGGGTGGGGTGGTAGGCGCCTGTAGTCCCAGCTACTCAGGAGGCTGAGGCAGGAGAATTGCTTGAGCCCAGGAGGCAGAGGTTGCAGTGAGCTGAGATCGCGCCACTGCACTCCAGCCTGGCAACAGATTGAGACTCCATCTCAAAGGAAAAAAAAAAAAAAAAAAAAAAAAAAAAAAAAAAAAAAAAAAAAATATATATATATATATATATATATATATATGTATATATAATTTACTGGGCAGTGGTGATACGCATCTGCAGTCCCAGCTACTAGGGAGGCTGAGGCAGGAGGATCACTTGAGGCAGAGGTTGCAGTGAGTTGAGATCGCACCATTGCACTCCAGCCTGGCGACAGAAGGAGACTCCATCTGAAAAAAGAAAAAACGAAAAACCAACACGTGTACAGCATGGATACAGGGGTTTAGGGTGGAAGGAGTTGAAGGAAAGACAGACATCTAGGACGAGTTTCACATTTCCATGGTGGACCTCAAATTTAGGCATATATTTTATATGTATTCAGCCTCTACATATTGCATTTACAGTCTCAATTAATTCATCGGGACATAGCATAGTGTAGGGAAAGAAATTGTACTAAATTTGGAATCCCAATCCTGTGTGAGCTTGGAAAGTGTCTAAACCTGAAGAGCCACCAGTCCCTCTTCTTTCAAACGGTGATAGGATACGTAAGGGTTTGAGAAGATGTTTGTAAACTCCACAACAGTGCCTAGAACTCAAGGTGTGTAAGGAGGTGTGGGAAACCCTAATGGGATGAGGCAGAGCGCCTCAGATTCGAGGTTTTTACCCAGGAGAGAGTGGTGAAGGAGGAATGTTGCAAGATTTTGAGCAGGCTAGACATTTATAGCATTGAGCATAAGAATATTCCAGTTTCTGCTGGGCACGGTGGCACAACTGGAATCCCAGCACTTTGGGAGGCTGAGGCAGGTGGATCACAAGGTCAGGAATTCAAGAAGAGCCTGGCCAAGATGATGAAACCCTGTCTCTACTAAAAAATACAACAATTAGTCGGGCGTGGTGGCAGACACCTGTAATCCCAGCTACTTGGGAGGCTGAGGCAGAGAATTACTTGAACATGAGAGGCGGAGGTTACAGTGAGTTGAGATCCTGCCACTGCACTCCAGCCAGGGCATCACAGCGAGACTCCGTCTCAAAATAAAAATAATACAAATGATTTAAAAAAAGAAAAGAAAAAAAAATTACAGTTTCTGGCCGCGTGCAGCGGCCAATGTCTGTAATCCCAGCACTTTGCGAGGCTGAGGTGGGCAGATCACCTGAGGTCAGGCGTTTGAGATCAGCCTGGCCAACATGGAGAAACCCCGTCTCTACTAAAAATACAAAATTAGTCGGGAGTAGTGGCACGCGTCTGTAATCCCAGCTACTCGGGAGGCTGAGGCAGGAGAATCACTTGAACCTGGGAGGCGGAGGTTGCAGTGAGCCGAGTTCGCGCCACTGCACTCCAGCCTAGACAAAAGAGCTAGACGTCGTCTCAAGAAAACACACACACACACACACACACACACACACACGCAGCATCCCAGTTTCTTTTTTCTTGTTACCCAGGCTGGAGTGCAATGGCGCGATCTCGGCTCACCGCAACCTCCGCCTCCTGGGTTCAGGCAATTCTCCTGCCTCAGCCTCCTGAGTAGCTGGGATCACAGGCACGCGCCACCATGCCCAGCTAATTTTTTGTAGTTTTTTAGTAGAGACGGGGTTTCACCATGTTGACCAGGATGGTCTCGATCTCTTGACCTCGTGATCCACCAGCCTCGGCCTCCCAAAGTGCTGGGATTACAGGCGCGAGCCACTGCGCCCGGCCCTCCTTTCCTTTTTTTAAAAATCTGGAGTATTCCAGTTTCTGCCTGAGTTGGAAATGAATTCCTCTGCTATGCATCCCAGCAAAAGGGCACCTTAAATGTCTAACCGGGGAAAGTACAAAGTTATTCCTGGAATCTGGAACAGTGACTATTATAGGTGAGCAATAACCGTTTAGTGAAGAATAAAGAGGTGAAGTTAGCCTAATTGGAACAGTTGGGGTGAGGCGAGCCAGGGCCGGCGCGGCTGATTTCTACGTCGCTACGGTAACGCCCCACCCTGCACACCCACGGCGAACTACAATTCCCACAACCGCCCGCGGCTTCCCTGCCCACAGGGAGGGAAGGGCATGAACAGGCACGGAACCGGCTTTTTCTCCTTCCTGCAGCGTGATTGGCCCGCGGCTCAGGGAGGCGGCCAATGACTTCTCTCACGGAGAGCGACGCGGCCAATATGGCTTCCTGCACTTGGGGACGCTTGGAGAAACTGAATTAGGTCTCATGGAGAAGCCCCTGCGTAATGAGGTGAGAGGGAGAGGACTTAGCGTGGCTGGGAAAGGGAACCCCGAGAGCCTAGCTCCATGGACCCTTCTTGAGGCCTTTTAGCGACGCCTGGAGGGTGGAGGGTGGAAGGATGGATAAACTGAGATAGTTAAAGTGAGCCAGGGCCAGAGGCGATTGGCTTTACTGTTTGTTCCTTTACTGCTGGGGCCAACGTTCGGCAAGGCGTTCAGGGAGGAACAGGAGTCCCTGGCCTGGGGGAAAGGGAACTAGGTTTAGAATCTGAGAGCTCCTGAATCTTCTTTGTCCTCTTTGTCTCGTGGCCGTGTTTTTTTTTTTTTTTTTTTTTTTTTTTTTTTTTTTTTTTTTTTTTTTTTTTTTTTTTTTTTTTTT